TTGAACACTGTAATGGGTAGCGATAATGGTCAGGAACGTATTATTGATTTCGAAAATGAAACACTTGTTTACACCCAAAACCACAGTGAACCAGTTTCTGATTCAAAAGGTTTCAAAATGAAAGAAAATGTGGCTGATACATTTTTTAAGATCACTGATGGCAAAAAAATAGAGATACAAATTCTATTAGCAAAAGCACTGACACAAACGTTAAATTTACTGATTTGTGATTTATGTTTAAGCTCCAGCTTAAATTGATTGAAAGTATAACCAACAAATAAAAACTTATTGTTATTCTCCAAACAAATTCAAGTAGTGTTTATTATTTCCGTACCTTTGGGATACTTTTAAATCTTAATACAAAACAATAAATTAAAATTTCATTCGTGCATAAATCATTGTTATATAGCAAATACGAGTATGTTGTTTTATGGGTCTTACTGACCTTATGGCCAAGCATTCTTCATTTCATGTTGAATTTTGTTGTCAATTAAGATGTTTATGTGTTAAAGGGTTTCATTGGATGTAGAAAAAATTCATATTAATTCCTATGAATACCTTTTATTAAATTGTTTATGAAAGGAAAACATTGAGATTTTAAAACTTCATTACTTTATTGGGATTACAATATTTTTACTTATTTTTTAATACTCAATTACTTATTTGTGTCGTCTGAGCATTTTTTCTCTGTTCGATCACAACATTTTTTTAATCCCTTTCGAAAACACTGCAATGGGGAAAATTCAATGCTTCGTATTTACAGTATTTTTATATATTTACACAACTGCATGCCTCCATCTTTATTATTAATTTGTTTTTGTAATAAATTTTACAATATTGCACGTATCTATTAGATTTGTTGTGCAATAATATAATAGATGTAAATTCTGATGTAGATTATTTACAAAAGAGTGCCAGTTTTTATTGGTTAATTATATTCGTGAATTTGTTTTATATCATTTCATTTCTTTAATCAAATTCCTCTTAACTTAATGTATGTTTTCGGATAGATTCTGTTATGAAATAAATTGTTATTGGGACTACTTTTTAATTAAAAGCTTCATGAAAAACTGAAAACGAAACTAATTATTCAGTTTCAGTCTCGACAATATTGGAATAAACGGAATAAATGAAAACATGAAGAAATGAAAATTTTTTGATAGATGGAATCCTTTAAATTTAGTTTCAAGAAAGCATTTTCCAACATTCAGAAAGCAGTCAGAATTACTTTTCCACTTAGTTTTTGCTGTGCAATTATGCCTATAAAGCTCATATCGTTATCCAAATATTTTACTGAGCAATTAGGGTTTACAAGGGGTCCATACTGATTAATACGAAGTTATTCTACAAATAGCTAAGTTATTCTGCAAATGCTTAAAATTCCGAATCAAATTACGATATAATATACCGGCACTTTGGATGCATCATTAGTAAAATCCTTTTTTAACGTAAAATATTATACCGTGACTTTTTGAGTAATATTTATTACTTGGAATGATTCATTAATTTTCCGGTAATATTTCTTGTAAAAATTACTGCATATCAGATTTTTTACTGCATTTTTAAGCACTTTTTTCTGTATCATGCTCCGGTAAAAATATATTTTACGATAAAAATTATTAGCATCCTAAGTGCCCGTTCTTTTCCCGTAGTTTGATCTAGAGTTTTTACAATTGCGGTGTAATCAACTGATAAAATGACCCTTTCTTCGGGATAGTTTAACATTTAAAGCATTACAATTACTCGAGAAAAATTACAAATGGGGAAAAAAATCTGTCATTACTTAATGTTTATATAAAGTACATGAATATACATCATTTTTTTTTCTTGATTAGTAATTAAAAAAGGATAATATTTTTCTAGTGTTCAATAAAATTAATAAATTCTGTAAAAAATGTTAAATTTAGTAGATAAAATATCACTCGTAGAACAGAATTAAAATCAAGTCAAAGTTTCTCACAATATTTATTCCAGCACATTCTTACAATTCTTGCAGCAGTAGAGGAAAAACACAATATCGAATGACATTATTCTTAAAAACTTTGCTTGATTACAATATCTGAAAGTAACAGCAACAGTTTTAAAGGAACCAGAGCAAAATAGTAAGGTTGATAAGAAAATATAATATATTCATATATAAAGAAAATAATAGAAGATTGATAAGAAACAAAATTAATAGCAAATAATAAGAATTTTGCAAATATAAATACTCTCCCAATTATCATTATTTTTTTTAAAAAATACGTTAGTTCAAATCTTTATTGAGTTTAAAAAAGCATAAACGGATAAAAGTATATTTTCTAAAAAAACGGAAGGATCAAAAACATCCTGCATGGTCTTTTTTTTTCAAATTTTAAGCTTTTTTGTACGTTGTATCTTGTATTATTATTGCCTTTAAGGTAATTGTCTTTAATGTAATCATAAATTATGAAAATTGGAAACTATAATTACTATTCTAATTATCATTATTTTTAAATGCGTTACTCTGTATGTTTTTGAAGTTTAAAATAATAAGTATATTTTCTAAAAAAAATCTATAGAGACTTACTGAACAAAGAAAAAATTTTTCAAACATTTTTTCCCCAGCTCACTTAAAAATTAATATGTGACCACTTTTGCACTGATTTCTTTAACTAAAGTTATATATTAAAAGTGATAATTACAGACAACCTTGCTATTTTTCATTTCATATGACATGAATGAAACTCAGCAAACACTTATGTTACTAATTTAAACTTGAAAATGTTAAGAAAAGTTCTCGTTGTTAAAGAGTATTTAACCGAATAAGAGTAAAATAAGCATAATTTCATTTACAACTGCCACAGATTTCAAATACCTTTAACTTAATCGATACTTAATAACTGATTTAGAGATCAATACAAAATTTTTATAAATTTTTTAGAACATGCTTAATTTTAACACTTCCTTCATCTATGTTGATTCTAAAATACCTTCTCCTTCTATACTGCCTGAAAAATTCCTATCTTTTAAAATAAAAATGTATTAAATATAACACATTCAAAATGTGCCGAAATAAAAAAAACAATGAGAAATTTTTAATTACAATCAAAAACATCTTGAAAAATTTGCATTATTAAATGCATGTTAATGCTTAATCTAAAGAATAATTTTTATACTTCATTTTATTTCGAATGAATCTTTAAACACTGCAATTCACGATAAAATAAATTAATCTGGATGAATGCTCGTAAACATTAACTTGACAGAAAACTACTTTTCTGATTATAGAAAAACTAAACAGCAAGTTAGTCATGATTTATTCAAGCCTTATGAATGTCAAATGAAATAAATATTCACCCATTTCATTTATTTGCTAATGAGTTTTAGAGAATAAAAGAGATTTTCTATGAAAACTAAATCTCATCTTAGAGAACTTAAGAATAATAATAGTTGGTTATCTGTCAAGCATAAAGCATATTTAGCTTTTATGGGATTCACTTGATTGCAGAATTCTTTCCGTCACTCTTATTTATTGATTGGCCAGAGTTGCGCTATAGAGATTGACAATGGAATGTATCAATGTCGGTGAAAACTGATCTATAGATTAAAGAAGATACGGGAAAAAAACCTCAAAGATAATAAATTTGAGTAAGATTTTATATTTCTGTCCATTTTTTACGATAATAACGTTTTATGCCCCATTTAAAATGAGTATAATGTTGCTATGCGAGTCTTTGGTCAAAGTATGGAAGTGTTACAGTTTCTAGTAAAATAATTGAAATGATTGAATCTGCTTATTAAGTGATTTGCATTATTATAGTTTTTTTTAAAGCGATAGGCGTGGTCATGATTAATAACGATGAAAAGGCTGAAAAAAATGATTATTTTTTTAATGAAAAAGATTTTTCATGAGAACTGAATCTCATCTTAGAGAATTTAAGAATAAAAATAGATTGTTAATTGTCAAGCATAAATTATATTTCTATATAATATATATATATATATATAATATGTAT